AATACACATGTTGAGATGTATTAATCCAGTTTCATTAATGAAACAATATATGCGTTGATCTGTATTTATTCGTTATGATAATATAGTGTTGTTTCACCAATACCGATCGTAGTGATTTCAAATGGAGAAATATGAGTTTTGTTAGTTTAAAGTTGATAAAATATTGAAGAATATTAAATGTATATGAAAACTAATTAAAATATTTAATTAAAGTTTTTTTTTAAGGAAATACTTAATTAAAATTAGTTACCTAGTATATCAATTACCTAATATACATCGTATTTTAAAAACGTTTATGAATCAAAGTGTATCATATTGATAACGTTCACAATGTATTTTCTTTGTTTTATGAAATGTATCATAGTGTGCAATTTCGTTATTTTCATTGTTTTACAAAGGGTATCACATTGTGCATCTTGTATGTATATCTGGTTATCACAGTGAATATCGTTTGTGGGTATCACCATGTGTATCTTGTGTTCACATAAGGTTTCATCGGAATAAGGTTCGCAATAAGATTTGTCGGGGAGAGGAAAGAGGAGAAATGAGAGAGGATATTTATAAAATTTCGAAAATGCCCTTAATTAATATTTTATGTTAAAATTAACAAAATTATTAATTTCCTAATTTAACCTTTGATTTGTAGTTGAAATTGGATCTCACGGTTACCACAAACAAGACAGTTTCTCATTTGATTAGGCTCATATATATATGACAAAAATACCAAAAAGAAAGAAAAAAAAAAACTAAAATACCTCTAGGTTAATGGAGGAGTTCTGGGATATAAATTCTTAAAGACGAAAACAGTAATAAATTAAAAATCAAAAAAATGAAATTCATGATTTTTCTCAAACCACAGGGACTGAAACTGTAGTTTACTAGAAATATAATTGGATATCAACCTTTAGGGTGCGTTTGGTAGGCAGAACATGACATAACACATTTATCCCATGTTTGGTGTGGTTTTATGTGGGACTAAGTGAAACAAGGTAGAACACGGGTAGGACACGGTAGTCCACCCTTCCCCCCATGGAACTAACTAGAACAATAAATAATTGACCTTTCTACCCTCTCAAAACCTTCATCATCGTGCCCTTCTTCCCCTCCTTCTTCCACCGTCTCCTTCATCATTGGCGGCCTATTATCAATCGGCGGCATGGACATAATCGTTCCCCTTCACAATCGTTCTCCTTCACAACCGTTCTCCTTCACAATCGTTCTCCTTCATCAATCGTTTAGGAGAACTCGACAGCCCCAATCGTTCGACCTTCTCCTTTCTCCATATTCTCAGGTAATCGATCTCTCCTCTCCTTCATTAAAGATGTTATCACACGTCGATCCTTGAAAGATGTTATCTTAATGCCATTAAAGATGTTATCACACTTCGATTCATGAAAGCTTACTGTATTCAAGCATACTGTTTGCATTTTCTTAACTATATTCAAGCTTGCTGTATCACACTTCGATTAATGCCATTATAGATAAATATAAATTTCTTTTGAAGTATTTGAGTTCCTAAGCATACTGTTTGCATTTTCTTTTTGAAGTATTTGAGTCCCATTGAAATTAATGTTTATCTACTCCATTTTGCTACTGTTTGCATTTCCTTAACTATATTCTTTTTTGCGTTTCCTTAACACTAGTTTGTTGTTTGCATTTTCTTTTGATTTATTAATTTGAGTTTTTAATTAAGATTGATTTTGGAATTTTTTGGTATTTTTAAATAGTATTTGTAAGCATTTATATTGATTATTTGGTGAAAACACACTAAACAGCTCACTGGGGGTAAATTGGTCATTTTAACCAGTTCTGTCATGTCATGTCTTATCAAATGCTGAACAGCTGTCATGTCCTGTTCTGTCATGTCCTGTCCTGTCTGCGCACCAAACGCACTCTTACGCATATATGCAAGTATCTTTTTCTTTTTAAATTAAAAAAATAGGATTTACATATAAAATTTAAAAAATACTATAAAATAATTGACTTCAATGAGACATTAAACTTTATGCATTTTTTGGATTTATTATTTTATTTATTGACTTTTTTGGTAGATTCTAAAACAATCTTTATTGGAGTTGTGGTAGTGTCCACCATACATGAATCTTTACAAGGAACAAATTTTACTATTTTTGTTTCATATTAGAAGCGTACTCGCGTAATACAGCGAGATACATCGTGATTTTAATATTTTATTTTATTCTTTATCTCAATCGATGTTATAATATGACTTTATGTGATTTTGAGAAAGCGACGATGTTTTTATTTTTGAATAAAATATAAATTTAAAAATATCATAAAATTTTGAAAAAAATATCGATATCAGTATCAAATTAATCTTTTTAAAAGTTATTGTGTTTTGGTGTAATTTCCTTAATTAAATTCTGTTAGTTATCAATAATTATCATGATTTTTAGATTTTTTATATTTAAAATGAGATATTTATCCAATATTTGATTATGTTTATATGCAGTTAGTTAGACGAATTCAAGTATGAAGCTTTCATAAGTTGTACTTATGTATAATTTACTTGTAATCTTAAAGTTTAAGTAATATGCATAAATAAAGAATACTTCGTGCATAAAAAATTATTTTTAAGAGTTTTTGTCAAATATTTTATAATATAGTATAGATTATGTGTTTAAATAAAACAATAATGATTTTATTTTTGAATAAAATATAAATTTGAAGATAATCATAAAAATTT